TTAATACGTTATAGACAATTAGTTTTGCATTACACTTTTAAACATAAACCTTTCAGCTTGTATTAAAAATAATTAAAGAAAAAATTTCCTCAAAAAATACACTCATAACCGTAAGTAATTAGTAGATTTTAACAAAACTCAGAAAAACAAACTAAATATTAATGTGAAAGTTTTTTAAAAGGATTGATGCCATTAATTCACGTTTGGATTTTTTACGAATTGAGAAACTGTGCTTACTTTATATGATTTTGGTGTTCCGACTTTACCACGAATCAAAAACTAAGACAAACAAAACTTCTAATGAGATTAAATCGAGTGCTGTGTATCTTATTTTAATAATGGAATTAAATTGACAGGGAATTAATAAGGTTGAGAAACATGGCCGTGATGACCTCCCAATGAGGTGAATCAGGTTCGAATTTTGCTTTTGGCTCGTACAAATCACAGAGTTAACCGTGGAAGTTTTTGTAGTTTTCCTCTCCATGTAAAGCAAATGCGAGTTGGCTCCATCAAGAAGTCCTTCAGGAAGGCTTGCTTGTCCCGATGCTTGATCCAAGAGTTCCCTTGTCTTCTGGGTAGGTTCAAGGCTTAGGAGTGGAAAATAGATTGTCATAAACTCAGAATTGGGTCGGTTGTTCATCGCCGGAGATAAAATAAAATAAAACGTATATTTTAAGCAATGTCCCTTTTTCTTTCAAACACGCGTTTAAAATTATTTTCTTAAATACGCATTTCGATTAATGCTAATATTTTTTTCAAACGCACACTATGAGCAATAACCATTTTTTAAAACCATCAAAAGTGAGGCCGCGATAGCCAGGTTGGTAGGACACTGAGCCCATATCCAAGAGTTCATGGGTTCCATCCCCGCCGGCCGAAGACTCCCCATGTAGTAAATGGTGACTGATGCACGCTAAATCTGTCGAGTCGCAAAGTCCTTCATGTTCCCATAACAAATCAATACCCCTGGGGGTACTGATCCAGGAGTTTCCTTATGGATTGGTTCAAAATTACAAGGCTACGGAGTTGAACGTTAGTAGTCGTAAACCAAAAAAATTGGGTCGGCTGTTCAACGACGGTTATAATATAAAATAAAATCTCTCCTCCCCAAGCATATGTGGTACAAGTTCAATATTATTTTATATTTCTAACACAAAATGATAGTTGGTTATTAATTCTTGAATCTTTTTAGGGCCAACCCAACAATCACCGTCCTCCCACAGCGGAAATATTTTTCTCTCTGTATACATACTGTGTCCACCCTAAGCGTTTTTTAAGAGTGGCCCGCCCTGCGTGTCCTTTGATCACAAGCCCCCATCCCTTGAAAGCACTGCTTTTCTATTCATATTCAATTTTGAATCAAAATTAACTCACTGTTTAAATAATAATTACACACTGATAAAATTATTTGTAATGGGTTTAATAGAAGGTTGTATATCTATTTATAGGTTTAATTCTGATTACTATTACAATTATTTACTTTATTAGGATTTTTCTCAACCCTGTGGCAGAATTGTTTCAAACAATCTGCGACAAACTCTCTAGCACTAATATTTTTAACAATAACAAACATATATGTTACTAATTTAAAGAAGCAAAAGTGCAAAAAAAAAAAACTAATATTTTTTAATTGAATGCATGAAAATTTTTTATTCTAATATCATGAGAGATATTCTTGAAATTTTGTTGGGGCGGGGAGTACAAGTTATGTCCCTCTTCGAATTTTGTAAATAATCATCTCTATAAAAAAAAATTTTTAAAAAAAGAATGAAATCCTTAAAATCGTCGAAAAAAAGAAGAAATCATGCGAATCAGACTCCTCAAATGCGTGTTTCCGTTCGAGATTAGATTGTTGTAATAAATTATATCTAAAAAATATCGGATTTAAGAACTATGGAGAAATCAACAGCAATAACTGCCCCAAAAATTCGATGCAATTATTGCTTTAAAAAGTAAATATTCAAATGCATAACTCAAATTTTCCATATTGTTTGAAATATATCAGGATATTTATATATTTCAAACAATACGTGAAAATTAATATCAAAAACACCGAAAAACTTTCTGCAAGAGCTCTAACGTTCTGCGAAAATGTTGTCGTGTCACTGTGATTCTGCCACGGAGATTCTCAAATGGATAAATTTTTTATAAGTGTATCTTTCTTAGATTCTGCCACGGAGATTCTTAACTGGTTAAATTTTTATAAGTATATTATTAGAGAGCGTATTAATCAGGGTTGGGTTTTTGCCGTCAAAAACTGGTTTTTGACATGACAGTGGTAAAACATGGACAGTCTTTACCGGTAAAAACTGTCAAAAACCTACTGTTTTCTTTAATTTATGGCATATAGCAGACAATATATTATTTTCACTTAATTGCCTTTATAAATAAATGTTGTAAATAATTGCTATTGATTTTGCAACCATATACATATATTCTTATAGAAGGATATACATTCATACAGAAATATTGTAATATACTTATTGAAAATAGTGATACTTAACTTTTATCATTATAGCTTGATTTGCAAAGGATTAAAAATTTTGCACTTCTTAATTGTTAGAAATAAACAAACAAACAAAAAAACTTGGAACTATTAATAAATTCAAGAACTAAAAAGAAGAATTTAAAATTTGGCATTTCTTAAATATTAGAAATAAGCTAAACAAAACTTTCAAAACTTGTAACTACTAACAAACTCTAAGTCAAGAATGACTTGACATTCTTCAGTAATGTAATATGCCAAACAAAATGATGCTTGGAAATGTTGAAAATTTTGTTTAGTATCCTAATATTTTACTTCAAATAGTATGTTTTGATATAATCATGTTGGGAAAATGCAAGAATCTGTTCTTAAATATCTTTTAACAACTTTTTTTCTAATTTTATTGCCCAAAAATGAATTAATTTTAAATTATAAGCAGTTAAACTCAAATAAAAATACAGTTTTACCAAAACTATGGGTTTTTGACATGATGGTAAAAACCATGGTATAAACCGGTAAAAACCGTCATGTGTCAAAAACTTGCCAACCCTGGTATTAATACATTTTATGTGATTTTAAAATTTAAAACTACTTTTTTTTAACAAATACCTTTAAAAAAGAAAAAAAAATTTTAAATGTTCATATTCTCACAATTTTCAGCATTAACTATAGAATAGAGCTTTCAAGTTGTTTCGTTTGAAACATACTTTGTGATTTTAAATGAAGTCCTCTAGTAAATTCCAATTGTTTTGTTTGTCAGAAAGTGGTAGAAGTTTTGATTTTGGGTTGTATTGATTATCTAACCTTTGCAGCTTCTCAAGTAAAAAAATAAAATATGAAACAATTGAAGCTAAATTTACAGAAGAAAGGGGCAAAAAATTAGAACTATTGTACATTGCTCTAAAATGCAAAAAAAAATTTTAAAAATACTAATGAAAATAATTTTGTTTGCTTTTTTTCACATATGTCCCACTTTATAAATTGTCAAAATGAAACACATCACATTTTGTTAAGAAAGTGCAAAATCTAGTTTAATTTGTAAATTTCAATTACCAAAACATTTTTTTTCTATTAAACATTTTTGTTGTCACTGGTGCTGAACATGGAATTTTATATAATCTACCTAACATTTTCTCGTATATTTAAATTACATGTTTTTATTATCGTCTATAATTAATGTTAAAAACCTACTGAAATTTCATGCTGATACACTTATAAAAAAAATTAAAATATTTAAGTGACAACTTTAGTATTACTAGAATATATGCCAATTTTAGCCGAATTGAAGACTTTGCAAAACCATCACTCATTAACCATAACTATATACCAGCAAAACTAAAAGATATTGCCATGTAAAATTTCAATTAAGAAAATATTTGTCTCAAATGGAGTAATCTTATATAATTTTAAACAAATACATTAACACTAATAATAGACATAACACTAATGTAATTAATGTAATACATTGACACGAATGTAGTTAAATATAGAAAACTAATTTTATTTTTAAATTTTGTTTAAAAAACTTACAATATTAATTTCATTAGACCATAAAAGATATTTTTATTTAAAAGATCTGATATACATCTTATCTGATCTATTGTAAAGATCTAATCTTGATATACATACTGACATTGAAAAATTGGTTAATATGTTTTGTTTCCAATATTAAATAATGGAAGTCAACAGAAACAAAAAATTTGTCTATGGTACATGATCTCAGATTGCCAATAAAAATTTTAATTTATTGAGACCGAGACCATGATAGGATTAAGATTTAAACATACTATACTTGAATGTCAAACTTTTTCCAATCATAAAATAAAATATACCTACTTAAATTTTATAATAATCTACATTAATTTGTCACTAAAAACAGTCTTTTCAAAGATTGTCAAAATATAGAGAGAATATATTATATAAGATATGGACTTAATTATATAGCTACTAATATACTTTCAACATTTGTATACTTAAACAAGGTTTTGAAATGCAGTTAAGATATTAAAAATTAAATTTTCATTAATTAATCCAATTAATACCATGAAAAAAATTAATTTAAAAAAATAAACATTAAATAATATGGCGTAAAATTGGAGAAATGAATGAAATCTCTTTTACTCACTTAACCTTTATTTGAAATAATTATTCCACAGTATTGAACTATGCTGATAAAGACTTGGATGATATCACAGAAAACTAGTAAACGAAGATCATTTACAAAAATTTACACAATGTAGCAAACTAACAGTTCACCAGTCATTTGTTTTCTTCTGCAGAAGCCTGTTCCTGCATTTGTTGTTGTTTCTGAGCTTCTTCAACAACAGCTGGTTTCTGAATAGTAATCGGTACAACTCGTTCATTTTTAGGAGGAGGCTCTAGCTGTTTCCTGGGTGCTTTGATGGTCAGAATTCCATCCTGGCTGAGAGAAGTGACCACTTTATCAGGCTCGACATCATCAGGTAGTTTGTAGCGTCTGGTAAATTCTCTGGAAACAAAACCATGTTCATCTGCTTGCTCCTCGTGTTTCCCGCGAACCACTACATAATCGTCAACTGTTTTAACGTCAATTTCGTCGGGTCTGAAATGTTTAACGTTTAGCATCATTTTGAAGTTGTTGGAATCATCAGTTGACGAAGTGCCGGTTTGACGTTGTCGAGGGTGAACTATGTTCAGATGTATATGAGCTGGTTGAAAATAGTCGTCAAACAGTCCTAATCTAGGTGATCGCAGTTCAAAAGGATCGTAGAGGTCACGAAGAATTCGAGAGGCCAACATGTTGAGAGATCACAAAACAATTTGTCAAACTCACTAAGCAACACAGAAATATCTTAGATTTTAAAGTAGAACAATATCTATCACAGTTCAAACTCACCGAGTAATTCACAAATAGCTTAAGACTCAAAACTGTTAGAAAAATAATAACAACAGCAAGATTCTATCACCAAATCTAACACTTAGCTAAAATTCAACAGTTTAAATATGGTGTTTACATCCGCTCGAGAGTTTTCTAGATAGAAAATGATTTTACTGGAGAATTCTCTAAACTCTCATTGGTTAGTCTACAGAGTAAAGGTTACCATACTTGAATTAACGCCTGTTGCTTCTTTGGCGAAAGTAAAGAAAGCCAAACGAAGAAAATTCTAGTTCTAATTTTTTTTTTTTTTTTTTACACAAATGAATATTGATTTGAAAATGAATATAAATACGATCAAAATATAAAGTAATTACATGAATATAATAAAAATTCTTTACTGAGAAAATGTTATGTTTAAAAAGTTAAACTCTACTCAAACGTCATATATGATAATTTTGGAAATTAATATAATGACTAGTATTGCTCAAAATTTTTTGAAAAATATTTATTATTTTCTGCGTTTATCTGCACACGAAGTACACGAACACAAATATGAATATTTCACAAAGTTAAGCTTTTACAATACATTTTGACATTTTTAATTTGGTTATTTTTCCATTTATTTATATAATTTGTCAAAAAAACATTAAAACTGAGCATTTTTCATTGTAATGCAACATTTCATTCTTTATAAAATTGAAACGTCGCAAGAAAAAAAGTTTTTTAATTTAAATAAAAAATTTAATAAACATTTATAATAAATAAATTCAATATAATTTTAAATAATAATTTATTCAGTTTAAAGTTCAAATCAAATAAGAATTAAAATAATAATTCATCAAAATATAATAATAAATTCAAAGAAAAATCTAAATGATTACTATTTTAATATCGAGTCAATTTGAGATTATAAGTAGGACATTGTTTTTACAACAATTATAATCTCTTTTCTTTTCCCCAACACTGTTTAAAAAAAAAATATTTTTTTTTGTTTTTAACAATTCATATTTTTATGTTATACCAGAAAAATGATTTTATGGCTTTTCATTAGAAATTGTTTATTCATCTTTCATTATATTTTATTACTATTTTTTTAATTAAAAAAATTATAAATAATTGTAAGAAAACTCAATTTTGAAATTTATGTATTAAAAATTTATAAGCACAAGTAATTAATCTCTCGAATGCTTAAAAATTGATTTCTTTTCGAAAGCTTTTTTAATCATAACTTTACATATTTATGTAATTATCTTAAATCACTAAAATTAGGTAGTCACTTCTTGATTTTGTATAAATGTTAAAAAAATTTTTATATTTTCGAAAAAAATTCTTTTTTTAATTTTCAAACCGAAAGTAAAAATATTATTCTACAAGCAATTTTCCATGTTGAAAACAAAATAAGCAAATTGAAATCTCCCAGCTAATTTAAGCATGAAAGCTTTGAAAAATTATGAAAAAATTTATGAAACTAGTTTATTTAAATGCATTTCCTTAATAGAATTGCTAAAAATAACTTTTCGAATGATTATTATTATTATTTAATGTTTACTTTAAAGCATATTGCTATGTTCATTTAGGTTACCAATAACTTTATGATAATTATTTTTGACTCGCAAAGCTGTAAGAAAATTTCACATTCTAAAAAAAAGTCCCTTTTATCATAAAAATTAGTAAATATAGAAATAAAATAAAAAACTACTTCAAATTAGCTTGTTTTTACATTTTTTTTTTTTCCTAATTTGAATACAAAAATTAATAACTAGCTAATGAACATTTTTTTAAACAAAATTTTACATAAAATAGATCTCAGTGAGTTTACTTTCTGACGTGTTTTAAATGTTCTTCCTGATTAATATCAAAATCATAAAAAGAACTCGTATTGCCAAAAAAGCGATAAGACGCCAAATTACTGACAAAGAGCAGAAGAGAACTTCATGGAACGCCTCCGAACTTTCACGCTGTTTCCATGGTAACATCTCGCTCGCTGGAGAAAATTCTGGATAACAGCTGAGATTATAAAATGAAGCGCTGCTATGTTTTGACAGATCAGAGATCATAGCGTGATAGTTGGCTGTCAAATTTCATCCAGTGAATTAGTTGCTGTGCTGTTTAAAAGCGAATCTTTTGGAGCTATTGTTCATTTCTTCGCTTGTTTACTTTGAAAATGGCCTACTCTCTATTGCCTTTGTTATCCCGTCGCTCTTGGTGGGATAGTTTTGATTATCCAGCAACACTTCTTGACCAAAACTTTGGAATGGGTCTGATGGATTCTGATTTATTGCCACCACGTCTCTATCGTGGATATTTGCTTCGACCCAGGACCCAGCTGAACTTAGATTCTTCTGGACAGTCCGAAGTCAAGAACGATAAAGATAACTTCGAGGTGAAATTGAATGTTAGCCACTTCAAGCCTGATGAAATAAGTGTGAAAACTGTTGATAATACTGTTGTTATTCACGGAAAACACGAAGAAAAGACCGACGAACACGGATTCATTACCAGAGAGTTTACTCGACGCTACATGTTGCCCGATGGAACCGAACCTGAAACCGTGAAGTCTTCTCTTACTCCAAATGGAATTTTAGTGATCGAAGCTCCTAAAAAAGCCATTGAACCACCTCCAACTGATGAGAAAGTCATTCCAATTACTATTCAGAAGCCTGAGGGTAATTAGAACTTTTAGAGACTTTATATTTAATGAACTGGAATATTTGATGTTCTAATAACTAGGTGTTATTAATAGTACTACCTATTAGAAATTATAATACCTGTGATAAAGCATTATGTTGTCAACATCATTCTGTAATCTCATTTTTGTAAACATTGAATGTTCATTAAAATATTTAATTGAAATTATTTTTGATGTCTTTATTTACATTTTTACACATTACTCTTTTATATATAATGTTAACATAATTAGAAATTTATTATTTATAAAGTAGTTAATTTCAAATTAGAATTTGAAATGTTTAATTTAGTTTTATTAAGTAGGCAATGTTAAGATTACAGTAAATTTATATTAGCTATGAGAAATTCTGTTTTAATTTTAATATAAATCTGCTTAATTTGATAATCAGATTAGTTATTGATTATAAATGCTGAAACTTTTTACAATTATTCTGAAATGTATTAAAATTGCAGTGTTGAATACTATTAAAAGAATTTCAATTTTTAATTGGTAAGATAATTTTTATTTAAGTTTTTTTTTTCAAGTTTAAGAAGTGAATGTTAATAATTAAAAATTGTTTTATTTCATAAAATTTTAAGATAAATTAAAAATTATAAAGTGTTAAAAGTTGTGGAGTTGGAAGCTATGTTTATTTACAAATTAATTTTTTATACAAAGTTCAATAAACTTGAAATATTTATATTTGTTAATATTTTTTAATCTTCTGCTCTATTTCTTTAAGTTTGGCATTTTTAAATTGCTTTACTATTGGTATGAAAATTTTAAATTTTTAATAGAAATTTTCTAATATTTTCAAGTTTATTAAGCTGCCAATCTCAAATAAGAAAACTTCATAGCACTTAGATCAAATATTAATTTATAGTTATTATATATATATATATATATACTAT